TATCAATGCTTGGGACAATGAGGCTGTGCAATCTATTAGCGTCCACTCCGTCTTCATACTGTACGGAGGGATTCGTGCAAAGACTACATATATATGGACATATACATTGTAAGGTATGTACCTTACAATACATGATCATGCATATGTATCGTGGGGTGCTCTCCTTTTGACTGCAGATAAATTGCTGGGTTGGTCTTCGTATTCTGTCATGATGACCGAACTATATATTGACACGCGCTCGTCTCGATGCGCACAGAACGCAAATTTTCAAGCTGGGCTGAGTATATACGGGGAACTTCGAATATGCACTTCAGTTACAATTCTGCTTATTTCCGATGAGACACCGCTCGCGTGTTGAGTATTATGTGGACAAGACACGGCGTTTTCGAATAAGACCGGTTTCGATAGCTGTTGAGAGACGAGATTTACAAGCTTGTCTCGTCCAAGTAATTGTTGTTCACTGCTTAACTCATAATATTACAAATTCTTCTCCAGAGAGCGAAACCGTAGGACTTTGGCACCTACATATGTATATGTAACATTGAGAATATCAAAATATACATAACGAATCAACGAACTATAATTGGTACGGAATAGAATGTTAAGATAACCCACAGACGAAGGTAGGTTCTTCCAAATTAGGTACACTTAATCCACACTACTTCTCACATGCAGCCGTTAATCCATGCGATCTGACCCATCCTACCGTCCATAATCTCGATAAGTCATTCCGTTCCATAATTATTAGTGATTGAAGTTAACAACATTGGATATTTTAAGTTTGCACATCAACACAGGTATTAATATAATAGAAATTGGTTAATAGAATAAAGCTTTTCTATACACCAAACATTTGCGAAAAAAATAATAGTCGAATAATGAATTAATATTATTCTCTTAACTAATATATAAACACTTATATAGGTACGCATATTAAAGAAAAGTAACATATTTGATACATATATTCAACAGCCAAAACCTATCAACGGTATAAATTAATTGCATGCTGCTAATTGAATACTTGCAGGGAGTGGCTCCTTTCAGCGGCTAGGAGGCGCAATTCGCAGTAGAAACAGGGGTAGCAGGCCTTAAAAACTTGAAAACGGAAATTAAAGTACGGAATTGTTGGCTTCGCATGTCATCTTCGTTGTTCGGTCTCGAGCTTACATTATTGTAAAAAGAACACCTTGTAGTAGGTATACGTAAACAGCACAGCAGCAACGATCATCCAACTCATGAGGTGTATATGATGATGCACTTCTATGTAAAGATATAAACCCCTACCGATCTGACGGTAAGTGATAGACATTACATACAATCGAAATCTCACAGCACCCGCAAAAATAAAGCCCAAAATATCGCGTATCTAACCTTTGTCAGCTAGTTTGATAATGATACCGCGACTCCCTTCCTTCATCTGTAAAAGATTACCTCATTAACCCCCTTTAAGTCTAGCCGTATGGTACTAAATTGACGTAGTTAAAACCACCCAGTTACTAGCAGTTACCGGCACTGTAAATAAAGTTTCTCCTGACGGCTGAATCCGGTCCAAACAAGTATCATCGTGGTAATGACGTAATGTGATGAAAAGTACCCGTTCTTGTCATCTCAATAAGTGGGATATCTTTAAGCGTTGAGATGTTGGATGGTATTTCCTACATTGCTATCATGTTACACACGATTATTATACCTCTATACGTCTAAATATCTATACAAGGACGTATCTTGTAGGTATGTAGGTATGTATATATGTCCAATTGCAATGTGAAATTTACAGATATTTCTCATGGAGTACAAGCCTACATAGGACTACTACCTGGTAAACGTTTATTTTAAGAGCTCTAGGCTCCACTATAGGTAGCTTTTGGTTTTTATACGTACCTAGGTATCTAAAAGGAAAAAATTTATCTTGGCGTGATATACCTGCAGCAGCCTTAGGTAAAAGTCTACGCAATAAGTAGGTACATGTATACCTAATGTATAACTACCTCTTACAAACCGACGATTGAAGTCGCGATTCCTCAACTACACAATCCACATTTCTCATCTTTCATCTATCTATGTAGTCGCCTCAATCCTTCATATTACTTCAAATTTCTACTATGATTAGGCAATAAGTAAGCTCCACCAGTCATCGTGAAGTCTATCGAGTCTAGGTTTAAAGGGCTGGTGGCGTTTTCAATTATGCCATGGCAGCATAGCAGCATGGCTACATGCGTATGATCAATATTGATAACATCTCGGCCACGTCGATACAGCGAGGGATCTGCCCTTGCATTTCCATGTACTCCAATAGGATTCTAGAACTACCGTCTTCCACGCGGCAATACGACTTTTTAGTGATAACGAACTCATTTTCCATCTCGTGCCCAAATTCAATTCGCCGCCATCCATTACTCAAATGTTTCAAGCAGTAGAAGAAAAGGACAAAGCCAATAGACGAACCAGGTAATAGCATGCTCACCGCTGTTGATGCTCGATACAGTTTTATCTTCCCCAGATGCGAATGATATCGGTCAGCCAATTAATGGACGGGAGAAATACTCCGAACCAATCGCATAGTCAGGAACCCGAAAAACGAGAGATCTAGTATTAACCTCAAATCAAATGCATCCTGGCATCGTAAATCCTGCAGGGAAGAGAGCCATTGTACATAGTGTATAATGTAAAAAATCATTATCTCTCCACAGTACTCTGCCGCAGCTCGGTCTCAGTCCCAAAAACGCCACCGCTAATCAACAAAGCTTTCTCGATGAAGCTAGGTGCTATATGTACCTGTCGGATAGCAATGCGAAGTTTCCATTTTCTTGAAGCCTCACCGATGTGTAACTAGGTACCTTCGCAGTAGAGATAAGATTTTTATACCTTGGGTACCTGCTTTATGCCAGTACCTAGCATATACAAACATCCCATATCAATCTCCTAAGCTATCAGGTCTACCGCTGGTAGGAAACCCATTCGGAGCTGCAACGAGCCGCTTATAGCGTCTCCAGCCTGACGCGTGTGTGTCTATCTACATACGAGATACGAGTAGACTGAGGTCGTTTTCTGAAGCGCAAGGGAGTCTGCAGCCGTCACCTTCATGAAATTTCCCGTGGGTATCTAGCAACCAGCCATTCGTATTTAAATATCAATCCTTGACCACTTGTAATTTACAATTGGATATGTTATGCTAAAGGACAGCAGTTCTGGTTCAAGTCAGAATTTTGTGTGCTTCTATATGCCAAGATGAGCTACGTATCGTGGCAACTCGCAGAAAATATCGAATCTGAATGCATTAGCAGGGATCACAAAACCTGCTTTTGCAACCGGGGTCTCCAGCCTTATCCAAAAGACTTGGGTTCCATCAGATCGACAATTTACAGGGCTATTTCCAACTATACATAGTAATGCTAGGGAAATCGGGAACGATATCAACACGATCTTCGGTGTTGCCCCTTAAACATGTCGAAATCTAACCACCAACATAGCCTCGATATAAACGCGAGATTATCACCAAAGAAAATTTGCTCCTGCCATCCTAGGCATAGCACAGTGACCCGACATTCTGGCATCTGGAAAGAAGGCACTATGACTAATTCGGGTTCGGATTCAGACCGCAGACCCGAGATCCGAGGTGGCCAAGTCGGGAAATCCTTGTGACATGCGTCTATCCGCCGCACCCCCGGCGATGCCGGATCGTTATCCAATAATCTGCTAGTTTTGCTGATACTCGAACCATATTATCGCAGATAAGCTCTAGCAACCAGTAACGGTAATGCGACCTATTAAATACTTAGTTACCATATTTTCCTTTACGTGTTTATAACCTGTTACCACCCGGGTACATGTGAGCAAAGACTGACAGGCCACTAATCGTATGGGTTCGGTAGAACAACATAATCATCTATACGCTAACAATCCCGAATCGTCATCTATATCTGCCGTATGGCCAACCAGGAGCTAAGCTACCGCCCGCTGCATAATGCAATAGAATGCGAGTTTCGTTAAGATTCAATAAATACTCAAGAAGCAGGAAATTATTATCGACGCGTAGTCTTTTTCGTAACTTGTGAATTACACAACATATTGCACACAGGCCTGAACGCTATTTAGATCGGAGTCTTATTATGTAGGTAAGTGCTACAAGACAGGTAGCCAGCAAGTCATATACGAAGCTCTCGGTTTGCGACGATAACTGCTGCTTGTATGGAATGGTATTTTTCACCACTCCTATAAATATAAACGATATAACTAGTAAATCCTTGATATCCAAGGTATATACAATACTTAGTTATTACTACCACACGAGATATGTTTAATATACTATCGCAATCCCCGTCCCCCGTTAGTCGCCCCTTTTCCATTCCGAAGCTTATACTAAATAGGGGCAACATAACAGCACCAAACTGCTTTATAGGTGTCTCTCTGGTTGTCACACGGATCACGATTCCGTTCCGGATCTAGATTAGATCTTATTGAGATAATCGTTGATTTGGCATGGCTGTTGCAACTTGTCCCGGGTTTCAACCCCCTCTTAACTTAATACTTGTCAAGGTAATTATATAGGTATATACCTTATTACTATCGTACAATATCACGGAATCGCGCATGAAAGATTGTCTAGAGTCTATCACCAAAAATACGTACGTATTATGCCAATATGAAATTTCTACCGCTACAGCTCGAGTTCTAAGGAACAGTGCGAGTGTCTATACTCGGACTGAATTTGCTAGAGACTAAGTGATACAAGACTACATGTTTCTGTCATTTGCTACACTTTATAGGGATAGAGAGTTTAATAGACAGTAATGCGATGAATTCACTTAATAGAGAAGCAGAAGGCCTCATGATAGACCGATAGGCTAAACTATATTCATTGTCTAGGTATACTTCGTATTCTCTATAGTAGTATCATGCACCCCCTACGTAGAGCGGACTCTTCGCCCGCTCACCCGTCTGTCCTTCTAGAGTTCCAAGCACAAGCGCAGACGCAGATACAGCTATATTTAGACAACTCCTTATTTCGTTATCCCGTTCTCCGCTTTTCCGGCAAATGGATCAAACTCCGGGTCCGTATTCCGGACATACTCAGACGCATTGGCCAGAGTCTGCGCGACATCCTCGCCGTACTGGTCTGCGACAAAGGCGTACATCATGTCGATACCCGCCGAGATGCCCGACGACGTCCATATGTTGCCGTCTGTCACCCAGCGCGCCTGGCGCACCCAGTTCACGAGCGGGCCCTGCGCCGTGGCCTTTTGTCGCCACCGCTTCCCGTTAATTACCGCACTTACAGCTAAGGGGTAGGGCAGGGTAGGTGGGAAGGGGAAAAGGGGGCTGAGAGAATTCTGAAACGTAGTAGACAGGTAGGGACACAGGTGCCGAAGAAGAAAAAAAAAGGAAAGAAAAAAGAAAAAGGGAATAACGAACCCACTCCCAGGCCCTCTTATTCGAAGTCGCGCGCCGTCCGTCTAATACACCCGACGTGGCTACCACTGCGCTGCCCGTGCACACCGTCAATAGGTACTTAAGACGTGGGTACGCTGCGCGCACGTACTCGACGACGGGCGCCACATTCGCCGGGTCGCGAGAGCCGAAGCCGCCCGGGACGAGCAGAACTTCGATGTCGTCGACGCCATCAGCATAGATGCGCGTGGGCATGATAGATTGGCCCGTAGTATGACCCGAAGACGAAGTCAGCGTGGGGACCGGGTCAAGCGTTGTGGATAAGATTTCTAGGGATAGAGGACGGATCTTGGATAACATGTTGAGGATGTCGAGCGGGCCGAACACGTCCAGGGCTTGGAATCCCGGGTACAGTGCCACCGCAAAGCGGGTTGGAGGGCCGTGGCTGTCGATGGAGTCTTGAGGCGACATGGCTTAGCTTAGCTTGACTTGACTTGACTATGGCGTAGGGGTGAGTACGTTAGTAAGAAGGGTATTCCGGCTTGAGGATCGTAACTGGAGAGTCATATTATTAAAATAGAGCCTAATTGAATTTGGATACCCAATATACCATAGTTACTAGCTGTGAGGTATGTTTTAAGTGTGGATGATGCAAAGGTCGCCAAGGGATCGTGATCCGGGGTCGGAGCCGGCGGCTTGAGCTGAGTAATGCGGACGTCCTGACGCGGACTAGTGTCGCTTAATAGCTGCACGTCTAATGTCAAATGGAGAAAAACTGCTGCCTGGTACGACTTCCCGAGATGTAGGCAAGGGAGGACAGGGGGGGTTGCGACTCGGTAGCCCCAGATTCAGGGATGTGACTCCTAGGGGTTGAATGCTTTATGCGGGTAGTTGCTATCTTAAGCAGAACAGAGTTGTGCTAATAACTTTATACGAACTTCTATTTAACAAGAGAGAGGTGTATAGTCGTTTGAATAGGCTTTTACATCCTTGTTCAAATGAGTCTTGTGTTTGTATTACGATAAATGAAACAAAGTATGAGATGGTAGTGCTGTTTTATTATCAGTCAACCTGACATAACGAACGTCCGTTCGTAGCGATAGTAAAGAACGCCATCCTGAGAAGGACTGCTAGGGATATCAACCAACTTGCCCTAATTTCTCAGGTAGCCATGTAAGAAAATAAAATAAAAAATTAGGGGAATATAAGGCATATTCCTCTATCTAGCTAGTTTACGATCTTCCCCGGGTTTCCATACTCCTTACTTGCCAAAGTAACTCTGGTCGAGGTCTCCCTGACTCGTGCCAATCTGAACCTGGTAAACATAACTGTCCACTTGAACGTCCTCTCCGCCGTATATGCCAAACTTGGGATCGCTCTCGCCAGGATACATATTTCCAGTGAGCGTCTGAGACTTAGTAGTAGCGAACGTTACAGGCTTGCCGTTGAACCAAAGCTTCACGTGGCCGTCCTTCGCCTTAGCTTCGATCTCCAGACCGATCTTGTACATAGTGCGCGGCTTGACATCTTGCGACCACTGGACCTTGCGGCCGTGCTCCTTCCAAACCGAAGTATGCGTGAATTCTAGCTTGTTCTTCCGTATCTCCAGGGCGAGAGGGATATTGGCGCCCTTATCGTGGTCGTTATTGGCCTTGTATTCTTTCCATTGGAATACGATTAGGCCGTCAGGTAGTTCCTAAAAATTTTATTAATGGATTTGAAAGGCTTTATTTAGTTGACGTAACCTCGAAACACGGATTCTGATGGTATGAAATGCGAAAGAGACCGAGATGTGATTATTGTACTAACCTCGAGCGCGAAGCTGTAAGTAATGAAATACGTAGTTCCAGCTTTAGTCTGGCCCTTCAGCGAATGGTACTCAGCTCTATCAAAATTTTTGTATTAGTCTTAGCTCTACCTGGAAAGTGATTATTGTGCTTCCTTACCTACGATAGCCAGCTTTATGATGGAAATGTGCGGCCTTAGTCCCTTTCCAATCCTTGCCCAACTTGATATACAAATCATTAGTGTTCTGCTTGGGCTTGTCTCCCTTGCCCTTCTCTAGGTTGAGACTTCCAAGCTTCTTGGGGTCGTCACCACGCGCGGCGTTGAAATCGACAAGAGGTGCCCCGCGAGGAGTTAGGGTTGTTGGTATCGGTTCACTTTGAACTGGTTGGGCAGGAAGCCCCAGCAGAAGAAAACTAGTCAATAAATGGGTCAACAACATATTGTTTTTTTTTTCTTTTTTCTTCCTTGAGTTGTGTTGTCAGTGATGCTACTCTTGGCTTTGCTGATTGCTTGACTCAAGGGATTGAAGCGAAGGAAATATCATATATTTATATCAGATATCCTCAGCTACAGCCCCATCTCAGCTATACGAATTTTCTGCATCTAGTCAAGATTAGCATAAGCATGATGGGTTCGTGAAACGATTCCCTCCAATTAATCACCCAGGGGCTGAACTTCGTAGGTGAGAGGGTTCCATTAGGATTTATTCGTAAGATAGTGAGGTATTGAACTATTGCTTTCGCAGTGTCCAAAAGGGCTGATTTCGCAGCATGTCTCTATATGCGGCTTAGGGATTGACAAATAGCACCGTAGAAAATGGTGGACATGCTTACGATGACTGCAGCCTGACCATCTTATTCTCCAAGTTGCGATAATCCTCCCACTTTATTGGCGATGTAGTGATTATTTCTGAGTTGGTCAATATTCGGGTTGATTTGCTTGTATTTGCTTGTATTTTTAGTATGATATACCTAAGATCCTACCTTAATTATATCATATTATACTAAGGATTATTAAACGAGAATCACTCATTACCTCTGAGTATAATATTCTGACCTACATAATTGACAGCATTTCTAGATTATCAGCCCCCAATATTAAGCCCCCAAACTCCTCAGAGGAATTAGAGCATTGAAAATATTTTAGTTATATTGATGGATTCCTAGGGGATTCACCTAATGAGTATTCTTCTGTCATCAATTCAATCTACGAATGGTAAAATATTGCTACAGATATATGCCTTTAGTATTATACTTATTTTCTAGTTCCATGTTGTTGACTTTGTGTACTGTTTTCATATGGTAATGGGTTTAGACTCCCTATCCAATCTTGTGGCATTTTATAATACAAAGCTGACTTGGTATTCTACTTCCAGGTTCAACACATTCATGATGGTAAAAAAATTAATAACTTGAATTACACATAGTTAGGTAATTACATGATTAACTGGTAACTTAGGTAGGTTACTGTGATTTTATCTACTTGAACTTGAAGGGGTATAGGTACCTAGGTACCTAGTAAGGAACGATAAAAAGAAGGACGACACATTGAACATAAAAAAGAGTAAGGAAAACAACAAAAAATGTGAGCACCTGCACCGGGATTCGAACCCGGGTTCCCGGCTGTCTAACTGAAAAGTCGGAGGCCGATAAGTTAACCACTACTACATGCAGGCTGAATTGAGGAAGGTACGATGTGAAAGTTATGTCTAACATCTACGCCATTTGGCCTTTGATGTGCTACCTCGTTAGTGATAGATCTTCTGAAATTACTATTCATATGTCTCCTGATCTTCCGACTTATCATAGAAACAGGGCATAGCCCGTCTATTTCCTGCTACGGTGAGGAAGGAACTTACAGTATAAGGTCGGAAGGGTTTGCACAATCCACTGTAAGGAGGTCTCGGGGCCTGCCCGGGTGACTCAATTGGGTAACCCATACCCAATGGGCAACTGTTAAGGCAAAGCTAAACTTATTAACATGCGTTAATAAACACACAATCCAATTGATAAAGGAAAAAAGAGCTCATGGAAGCTTCTATCTTAGATACCTAACCTACAGGGCTAATCGCTCCTGCTTCAACTTGAGATATTGTTAGAGGAAAAGAGCGGCTTGGATAGTACCCCTAGGAATATGTTGTAGCTACTTCCTCTTCTTATCAAAGGGGGGAACTACATACCTACATATCTACTAGCCTAGGTACCTAAGGTATTGCTGAATAATGAGGTAAATATAGACACCAGGTACATAATAAAGTGGCTCGACATTGCATTGCCATTTTAGGTAGCTAAATCTCAATTGGACCAATGAGAAGGGTCGCTGTGATAGAGCATATGAGGGAAGAACACCTACATGTATAAAAGGGAGGAGCTCTATACAATATAGGTAGCAACCCTAAATGTGCATTATTAAGGTACCCAAGGTAATTTAGCATATAATTCTGATTTATCCTCTCAACCTCTTCTTGATCACCATAAACCATAGCTTTTATTTTGGAGAACTAGCCCAATAGAAACTATTCCTATAGCGATTAAATATCACCCTTCCAGTCTTACCAACCTAAAAACCCGCCGTTGATTATCTTTCATCTACCTATAAGAATCGCAGTTCGAGTTGAGACTTCTACTACAAAAGACTAAAAGCCTTCAGACAATTTAACACCGGTGTCAACACTAAACTCGTAGTTAAAAAGGAGGAAGGCGTTCTACGAACCATGGCGGAAGAAGCCCGAACCACCTATATGAACCCCTTGGCCGCTAGAGGATGCGTGGGTTGCTTCGAGACAAGCCCTGATTTGCGACAACTCCAATGCGGGTGCTTATGGTGCCGGGATTGCTTGGAGAGATATCTCCAAATGAAGCTGGCCGAGAAGTATCGCTGGCCACCCAGGTGCTGTAGCCTCACCCTCAGAGATCAAGACGTCGAATGGATACAGTCGAGCGTGATCTTGGAAGAATATCGAAAAATAGACCGCGAGAAACGGGAAACACCGCCTCTATATTGCTCACAGGAACAATGCAGGGCCACTCTCAATACCCAAAATATAATAGAGGGGAGCAGTACCGTTGTATGTGACAAATGCAAGTCTAAAACTTGTCAGAAATGCGAGCGGGACCATGAGCCTAACGATCCGGGGTGTGAGGGACGGCCTATATATGCTGAATTAGAGGCCTTAGTCCAGCACGAGGGTTGGCAGAAATGTTCACGGTGTAATAATACGGTCTCTCGAGCAAGTGGGTGTAGCCATATCATGTGAGTTCATCCATCGTATTTTCATTGTTATATTAATAAGGTATGTTTACCATATTCATTCTTCGGCATGTGTAGATGCTATTGCGGTCACGAGTTTTGCTATCGTTGCGGCTTAACATGGAAAAGTTGCGACTGTGAGGATGCCTTAGATTATATTTTCGAAGAAACGCAACAACAAGGAGGAGAACTTCCGGTGATGGATTGGGAACAGGAAATAAGGAGAAGAATGTACCAGGCGAGAGAGTCGCAAACCATGCGCAGGAATAATAAGGAAAAGGCTCTGGAAGAAGTGGAAGAGTTGCAACGATCAAAGAAGGAAAATCAGCGCCCAGGGCAGAGACATGGTCACGGATCACCAACGCTATCCGAGGAGTCTTACAGACGGACTGGTGCAGCACCTGGGCAATCTCAATACTTGCCGTATAGGCAACCCCCAGAACCTCTGATAGAGAATCCACTACGTTATGTCTCCCCTAACCGCATTTTCCCGTCTATTCCTGAATCTTCATCTTCTACATTGCCGCCTCAAAACGAGGATGTAGATAGCCTGCTCAACTACCTCCCGTATCTACAAGTTTCGGAGATGGATTCAGACATTAACATCAGGCGCCCGAGATGGCGTCAACGACATCGAAGACAACGATCCCGATCTCTCGAAGTTCATGATCCACCCTTACCAGATCTTTCCACTACACAACAGAAAACAGAGGAAATTGCGACGGAACTACCAATACGTCAATCCTTAGGTCTTACAATAGGCCTGGGATTCTTTGCCCCTGCTAGAAGGGCTCTCCCACAGATCCACGATCCTTTACCAACAGAACAAAATACTCCAACCGAGCCCGAGATCCAGCCGGAACCAGCGCCGCAAGATGAAGTGCCACATGCTTCTAGTCCCTATACGCCCCCATCTCAACTTTCTCCTCCCATGCCTAGCAGTCCTCCACCATGGTTTCCTCGATCACATTGAGGGCAGCTCTGTGATCTTGAGCATTTATATGGTCTTTCTTTTGGGTACGTACTTACCTATTTGCCCTTTCTATTCCTAGCTGTTGCATTGTGGACATGAGGGAAGAGAGCTAACTAATTTAGTAGGTTCAAAGAGGATTTAGCGGTTATCGTTTAAGAGTTCAGCGGAGTAAATTTTTATTTAGTATGGATACCAATTTCTATTTACAAGGCAAAGCCCTCAATAGAAAGGACACAAGGATATCAAAAATGATAGCGTACCTACCTGTGTAGTCAGTCTTGCAGATAGGGGTATTAATGCAGGTATAAGTTTTTTAATTATAGAATAATATTATGATTTAAGTTAAAGGAGAACAACTTTTTGTGGGAAGGGAAGAAGAAAAAAAAAACCCCCCTAAAATGGCTACCTAAAAAAGTCGAAAAAAAGGAAAGAGCTAGCTTCACTCCGTTTCGATCGGAGGTCCTCCGGGTTATGAGCCCGGCGCGCTTCCACTGCGCCATGAAGCTTCAGCTTGTATCCACAGAAAATTCTTAGGATTGCGGTTGAATGTAGCCGTGCAATTTCACCTTATAACGTTTTCCACCTTTGCGTTTTTTACCTAGTTAATTATTACTCTTGTTCTGTTGTTTGGCCCTTTCGCATCGTCGTGCTATTATTATCTCAAATTAACACATGCAGACTTTAGGTACCATCGAAGAGTGCGCCATAGCATGTTGTATTGTATGCACATATACATACCTACCTAATATATATCATGCCATAGGAAGTAATTAACACCAAGGGAAAAATTTAGGACTATGAGAAAAGGAACCTACAATAACATATTTAGGATCCCTTACTACATGTAGCTTAACACCGCGTCGTTCCTTTTTCTCTTGCTCTATTTACCTTTGTTGGGAACAATTTTGTGCAAGCAATACCTATAGAGAGTAGGATAAATATCAAGACACCGATATCAATAGCATTAACTTAATCATCATTAAAAACATCCGCTTATTACTACTTCATAAAGTTAGATAAAGAGGTAAAACATCGAGAGCAAGCTCAGGTTGGATAAACTCTCCAACTGAGATTTATTACAGTATCATATCTAGGATCGACCAATCACATCCGTTTCGGAAACGTGACCCTTCCCTCCTCCAGCCTGGGACAGGAAATGCAAAAAAAGGGGGCGAGATGGAGGGAGGTTAAGCACGAAAAACAAAAAGTGGATGATACCGTTCCAATAGATTTCCTCCCGACTCCGACCGAAACAACTACCTGCCTCCGTGCCTAATCCGTGTCAAGTTACCCGTTCGTCTACCCTGCTCCATTGTATTTTACGAGCGGATAGGTGCTCTAGTCGTTACTTGAGCAGAGCTCAAAGCATTCAAAAAAAAGGGGGGTTAGAGAAAGAAAATATAGTGTCATTACAACTCCGTTACTAGCATTAAACGTGTCCTCTTTTCTATCTATGTGAGAAGAGGATGATGGTGGCTATGGCTATGGTTGGAAAGCCGAAAGGAAGGTTATGTGTAGGTTTATAGCGAGTTGAGGAAGGCTTCCGGCTTCTCGCTGGCACAGGTAAAGAGGTTGATGTGATAATCGCCGCGAGCTGCGCAGCCTAAGATCATGCGGTGCGGATGGAAGGCGGTGGCAGAGATGGGCGCGCCACGGTTCTGTTGTAGGAAGCTAGAGTAGGGTTCCATACGGGAGAGTTCGTTGCCATCGAAGTTGAAGACCTTTACGGTGTGGGCGGACGTTCCGCTAAAATATTGTTAGCATAAATAATTTAAATTTGACACCGGCTAGTGACTTACACAGAGAATACCGGTAGGTGTTCGTGTGTACTTGCTGTGCGGATGGTATCGCGAGTTGCTTGGATAACGCGGAGCGGCGAATCCATTCGAATGTCCCAAAGCTTTACTTTCCCGTTTCGGCTCGCGGAAAGCAACTCGCGTTGACCTCCGCGCTGCATGTGCACGTCTCTAATCCACTGTCGATCGGAATCGTCCTTCCATTTCTTTACCATTGACTCATGCGGTCGGAGCCGAGTATCGAACACTCGAACCGCACCGTCTCCAAATCCAGCCACAAAGATATTGCCAGTCATCTGGTCCGATGTTAATGAGGTAACGCATGATCCTGAGCGTGCGGGTATGTCCATTATGCATGTTTCGTATGCTGCAGCCCAGACCCGGATGACACGAACATCTCCTGCAACAAGCACATTGCCTGTCACCTGCTGCCAGTCGAACACCATACCAGAATTGACATTACTAGGGACCATATGGGTAAGTGCTCTCCAGGACGATGCTAACTCGGTCGTTTTGAGGGTATCGTAATTACGGTAGACCCGGAGCACGCCATCGGATGAACCCGTCATCAGGAACGCCGTGTCGTCCTCGTTGATAAACGTCATATCGCTGATCTTCGAGCCTTCCGGGTTCCCATTTGAGAATCGGTTTAATCTAGTTTGCTTTTTCCAATCCCAGATATAGACAGTGTTCCCATCGTCGGCCACTGCGAGATGGTCTTCGTATTGGTGAAACGTCATTTTTGCCGGTTGAGCGCCGTTGTTCATAATGCAGAGCTGGTTATTCCACTTGTGACTGCCAGCATACTGCTTCTGCGGCTGTGTCTCTCGGAGTATATTCTCGTTTCGTGATCTTCGCCACAAACGCTCGTTGTACTCGGTGCTTCCCGGTTCCTCAGCCTCGCTAGGGTGCATCTGCGGTTCGCGGAAGTACTCGATGGACCACTCCAGGAATGTGCTCGGAAGGGGTAGAGAAGGTGCTTCGTCGAGGCGGTGTTCTTTGAATTTCCCTGACACAGGCTCATCAGCTACGTGATAATATGCCGATACGCTGGCCTGATCAATCTGTTCAGGGAGAGCAGCCCAATCGCTGGCGGGTCTCTGCCGTTGAGAAGAGGTTCTTGTAAGCCCGGGAGAAGGTAATGGCATAGGATTAACCGCTTTATCTTCTCCAGCCCACATGCTAGGAAGCTGAAATAGAAGACTTGCGGTTCGTTTCAAAAGGCCAGGTGAGGGTTCGGGGGGAATGATATCAGAAGCTGATGCGCCTATGCCATTTCGTGACATAGAGGGTTGCCTCTTGTGACCGCGTGACCGTCGCGTTCGCTTTTGAATCTCATCCATTAGATTTCGGGCTGGGACACTTGCATTTGATGATAGAAGTGCGTTGTGAACATAATCAACGACAATCGTTGCATCTCGTTGAACCTCAGGATGAGGGTCTACGTTTAGTATCAAGACATGTTTCCAACAAGCAGCGAATACGGTGTTCGAGGATAATCCTTGGGCTGTGGCCTTGATTGTTCCATCAGGATTGCGATTTTCCGGGCGAGCATAATGCATACCCATTTTATGCTCTAGACCGTCGTCCGTTGGGGGACAGTGCAAGTACTCCTTCTCCTCGACCAGCTGCTCATAAGCAGCAACGATAAACTTATTTTCATAACGAAGAACAAAATGCGAAATAAAGACTAGCAACTCCTTACGGACAAGTGGACTGCCGTCACCAGCCATATCCAGAAGTGTCCAGGCTATTGACTCCTCAACCCTAGCCACCTCGTCTGTAAGATCTGGAATGCCCAGGAACGTCGTCATTGCATGAACGACCGCAGCTCGTACTTCGCAAGCCTGATCTTTCGTCAATGTAGATAGCTTCAAGGGCGCGTTCTCCCGAATGCCTCTCCATTTAGCCTCGGGCAGATCTTGCCAGAGTTGACTAATGCAAAGGCACGCCCACTGGCGTAGCAACACATTCTCCTCATTCCGAAGATGAGTTAGACAATACGTCATGATATTTGATGAATTGCATACTGATTGCCCAGGCCTATAACCCTTGCATAGCATTGAGAGAACGAATGCGCACATTGCTTTATGCTCATCGCTATTAGTGACGGCAAGCGTTTCGGATGGATTTAGTATGGAGGCGAAATAATTGTAACCGCTATCCTTGATCAGATCAGGTTGGCAAGAGACATCTACGGCGAGAACCCGGGTCCAAATAAATACCATAACGGGTTTCAGCTCGGCAGCGGCAGATTGCAGGAGCTTCAACACGTAGGGGAAGATACCAATGCTCAGGGCTAGGTGGACTGCCCAGGGACCTAAATCTAAGAACTTGCCCAACAAGATAAGAGCACGTACTCGGTGCTGTTGGCTTAATAAGACCTGGAGCACAACAGGGAGTTGCTCAGGAGGCTTTTTCTGCATAGCATCTCCACGCGTAAGATAGACTTCAAATGCAGTCAACTGCTCCGTGAAGAAGGTCGAGCTTTGGTATTCGTATTCAATACCTTCGTTCTCTTTTCGCTCCATCAAAGGGAGCTGTGCCAACGCCAAATCAACAGCCAAATCCCAGCTTTCCCATAGGGGATGCTGGTGAGTATCCGGTAATTCTGGATATGACTGAGGATGACATCCATAGACCATCATGATTCTCTGAGCAAGAATGAAATTACGGAAAAGAGCCGCGACCATGAGGTCCTGCCTGAAGAACTTACGGAATAACTGCCGAGGTAAGGAGGTCCATGCAATAGTATCAGTGATTGCCGTAAATATCCAGTTGAGCTCTCCTAGTGGTGTTCTCCGCTCTTGTAACCTACCAGGCAGTTTCTTGGCCCGCTCTGGTGTTATACTCGTCTTAAGAGGATTTTGTAAGACAAAAAACCATAACGCCATCTCTATGGGTGTTGTTAGACACGCAGTGAAGAGATCAGCTGGGAGTCGGGGATTGGTAGGAAGATTCTCCTTGACAGCACACGCTGCAAGATGAAGATACGATCGATATTTAGTCTTTTCATAGTTAGGGTCGGCGGCGGCGGCAGCCTCTTCTTCCTCTTCATGTTTCTCTACGAAACGGTGGTAATTATTTAGGATATTACCAGCCTCAGAGCAATCCCAGACGAAGATAGTAGGCGCCTGAAGCCAATGTTGGAGGTCATACAATGAAATAGGGATATACTGAGTAAAGGTCTTATTAAAGACCCAAATCTCTCCTGATGCCGTTGGTTTCGGAACACCATGGCCATTATAATGAAGTAGAACACGCTCATCCTTGGCGTTCCTTCGCAGCGACTGACAGAATCTCTTCGTTTCTTCGACCGATGGATCCAGGTATTGCTTATATCTTGTTCGTAATGAAATATTCTCGTACTGAGCTTGTAGTGACTTTCCAATTGCCTCTAGGGCTTTTGCAGCTGGAGGTACGAATGGATCTTGCCACGCCTCGAGCTTAGCCCCCGGGTTTGTTTTTAACTGATCAGGGGGCTCAACCCCAATGTTGAGGCATACAGCTAGAGCAGCCGAAACAGTTTTTAACCGATCTCGCATACGCCAATCCTCAATCGCATAATTAGGCGAATCTGGCTGACCGGTAGTCTCGTGTCGCTTATCCGTAAAGTACATATACCAGTTCTGTATTTAGAAGTTAGTTCTAAACCAATAATTATAAGAAGGAGCTTTTTCAATGTGAAGAGGTAAACAATGTTGGGTGTACGATAGCAAAATAGCTACAGCCATGCCACCAAGTACAAAAACACCACAGTAAATATGACAGCAATGCTGTCTCATCTCCAGACTATTGCCAGGTAGCAGCGCATCTCGAGAATTTCTACGCGACAAGGCGACATTGCTAGCAATATATGAAGCAAAGCTTGACTTACATTTGCTAGCTGAGAAATGATATCTTCGGATTGGTAATGATCTTCAAAGCCATGCCTAGCTCCCCATTCATAGATCTCTTCATCCGCCTGGTCCGCATCTTCACGTCTTACTATGTGTTCACTCTTGGATCGCAGTAGCGGCGGCTTGGAGACTGTTAACCTTGACTGGTTGTGATCCGAGTCATCATGGGAGTTGGAGGGTAGGGGATCAGCCTTGTTTCCTGGGGCGGTTAATGGACGACGGCCAAAATCTACAGGCTCTCGCTCATCTGTTGCTGTTCGTGGACGTCCCTTGGGCAATTCTGGAGATCGTATGGCATAGGTTGGGCCGTTCGAGCCTAGACGTGAAGGCATAATGGTAGAAGTACCATTAACCAAAGGTAGGTTGGTCACTAAGTTTAGCTGCTGATGGTCGCGCAGCGGCGTAGGATTAGAATCGGCGGTCAGGGTATTAAGGGTATTAGGGCGGGTGTGCGACGACGAAACAGTCCTAGATGTGGAAGATGCGGAAGCGGAAGATGCGGTCGGCATGTGGTGGCTTGGGTGCTGCCCAGAAGTGTACGCGCTATGGGAGGAGACTGTAACAGCGGTCATAATGGTTGTAGCACATCTTTAATGTACCTTTAGTTGAAATTATTTGACGATGAGATGTTAAAAAAAAAAATCTGTGGCGTTGGAGTTCGGTGGTGAGGCGGAAGACCTCGGTCAAGTTGATTATTCAACAAGGCCGATGCGATGGCGGCTGGCGGCTGGGCTGATGTTTGCGAATGAAGCTTTGCGGTCTAATCTAACTACTCTGGTTGGTAGGTACACCCGGAACGACGGTGGGGACTAAAAATTATGTACCTAGGTATCTTAGGTTAAGTTAGGTACCTAACCTAGCCTATCAGTCCTAGCCCCCACTCGAAGCCAGTGACGAAATCCATAATTTGAGAACAGCTTCCAACTTAAAATCCTTTCTTTATGTTAGGTAATTAGGTAATAATAGGGGTAAGTGTTTATCATTCAACCTTTTACACCACTCATAAAATGATTGATATTTCGCATAGGCAGTTAAAAATTTCTCAAATAGTAGCACTTTCTAAATCATTAGAGTCACATCCTTCAGCCGCAGTTGACCGATCGAAACAAGACAAATCTATTAAAAGCTGCGTATGCCAGAAGACAGAGCTGAAGCCTATCGGATGGTGCTTTGTCACACCTTTATCATCGTCAGTGTGCATATATGGCAGATATTTAGCCTTACACAATTAGGGTAATTCGGGTGTAATAGTTCCTTTATAGTTGTTTAGCAAGCTGTAATCCGTACTTTTCTAATATTTTTTTTTTAGACTTAGGTATTACCGAAGTGTTGTATTGTTCACGTGCTAGATAATTTACTGTGTTTCAGGTGGCCCGTTTTGCTATAAGATCTGCACGTCCCCAAAGCGCGCATGTACCCACATGGCTCCCTCGCCATTATCCAGCCTTGCGTAGTAGTAGCCCAAGCAGTCTAGGGTCCATTAACTTAATTGCTGCAGTAGCTAACTTACATTGATAGTTGCATATCTGTATCTGATCAATTACCTACCTATGTATTTTAGGGCGACCTATCTATCTCACAATGTACTTACTTATTAGGTGCTTTAGACATATAACTAAGGTACCATGTATAAAAGCCAGAAAGGGGTTCTAGAGGTATATGGAAAAGGGGGAAAGGAGATCTTACATTTTCAAAGTCAGTACAGCTACTCTAGGTTACACTTTAGAAAAGAGTTTAGAGATGCTTGCTCAGCTATTGGTGTAACCATCTACCGTCTCCGCATGCTGTCACATCACAGTATAGTAAGTCTACTTATATCTCAATGCGTATAGGTGTACGTGTCGATATGTTAGCTAAAGAGATCATCTACACATATCCAAGAAAATATTAAACATAAAGATAGATCGAATTATTTGGGAGTTGATGACACTTTAAATAGCTTAGAATTCGATAAGTAATAAGTCTATAAAGCATGCCTTTTTGATTTGATTAATACGTATATTTTATGCGTACTTTTCTACCATGTCGAGCGACCTACTTAAAAGGCAAACCTACAGGTACTTTAACAAAGCCCAATCCAGTTCTTTTTATAAAAAACTGTTGTATAATATTAAGTACATAGAATTTAATTGGAATATTTACTACGTAATAAAATATTTTATACTAAATCACTATAGTTGTAGATATAAGTAGTAGTCAATCATAGAATTTCAGGAGTTCAAATATTACCTAGGTACCTAAGGCATTTTTTATGTTGGTTACCTACCTTTAGGTACCTCTCGTCACACTCATTTATTTTAGTACCTCTAGTGCCGCTAACCCACTTAGAGCGATGGGTGTCTCCTAAATTAGCTACTTCTTGCCCAATGATAGTCTACAGTAAGGCACAGCATAAGAGTGAACTAACCCGATTCAAGAATTAGCGCAGGCACAGTTCCCCCCCATAACCCGACCCTTGGTGGTGACAGTCCTGGGGAACTTTAGAGATTTTTTTCTGGAAATTTGGTTGTATGCAGTCCCCGGCAGGAACCTCGTCGCCAGTGCGGTCTCTCTCATCAAACCAAACTTTCTCTCTTTCTTATCCATTCATTCAACTCCCTTTTTTTTTTTCTTGATGGCGATGTTCTGAATTGCCACGGTTGTGGAGGACGCGCAATAGTATTTGGAAATTCAAGGTAATAAATAAGTAATGTTCTAGTTTTAAATCATTTATCCGTACATTACAACATTACATACAAATCACTACCAATTGCACAACCCCGACGATCTCGAAAGGGATTACCCATCAGTGGCACAGAACAAACGAGCCGTCGCAACATTCGATCCATTAACCCTTCATTTTTCTATACATACTCCTAATTCAATGTTCCTAATTCAATAGCCTAACAACACGATACGATTTAGAACTGTTTTCTTTCGCGCCTATCCAAGTTCTAGAATTTTTGCACAAAGCAATTACAAGGGAAAGGAGAATAGGAAGGCTTACGAACTGGAAAAGGAAGGGGTAAAAAAAAGTCGAGAGGCTACGCAGGACACGGGCAATCGGCGCAATTTCGATTAAGGACCCATTTTCAAGATTTCCAACCTCATGTTATCAACCCCAGCCATTTCGAAGGCCGAATCCTACCGCGACGAACTCTTCATACATTCGTTTTCCGCTTGGTCATCAAGCTAATCCGTCCATTCGCCGATCCATTGTATGCAACTTACCGGTAACCAGTGTTCGATACCAACCATAGAACACCTTGTCGCCGCTGCGACAACCTTGCCCTAGTACTCCTCAATCGAGGTCCCTTCGAAGGGTACTCGACTAACTCGCCATGGCTTTCCTATTCAAATCCAAGAAAAACCAGGACAGGAACGTCCAAAGCCGCGATGGAGCTCCCGGTTCGTCGCCTCCAGTCCAAAGCCCTGCCGGGCGCATTGCTAGAGAGGAGAAGCACTCCAGGTCAACACCAACAGGAAGTTTGAATTCCTTTGACGAAAGTACGCCTAGCCCGGACGCCGAGAAGTATGCCGCTCGCCGTGGCCAAGATCTATCACAGCAGATGCAACAACCTCAACCTCAGCAACAACAGCCGCCGCTCCAGCCGCAGCAACAGCAGCAGCAGCAAGCCGGCAGCGATTTGCCTGTAAGTGAATTTCGATTTAATCTAGTTACTATATACCCGCGTCTTTTCCCCCTTGGTTTATCTAACGATATTACTTTAAAAGTTCCGTAATACTCCTCCGCAAGGCGCGAATCCTTCCTCGTTATACCCTTGGTCTCAACGACGCTTGACGTTCACTGCGTCTATACCCAGTCCGTTCCCGAGATATGGAGCCGCGGTTAATTCCGTTTCGTCTAAAGAAGGCGACATCTATATTATGGGTGGTTTGATTAATAGTTCGACCGTCAAAGGCGATTTATGGATAATTGAAGCTGGGGGGAACATGTCTTGCTATCCGCTTGCTGCAACATCTGAGGGACCCGGGCCAAGAGTTGGCCACGCGTCTCTTTTAGTTGGCAATGCATTTATTGTCTACGGCGGTGATACTAAGATTGACGAGACGGATATTTTGGACGAAACTCTATATCTTCTCAATACTTGTAAGACATTATTATCCCGTCGGATCCCGCTCTCATCGACGTAGACTAACTTGGCTCTTTAGCCACAAGGCAGTGGTCGAGAGCTCTGCCGGCTGGTCCTCGACCGTCAGGACGCTATGGCCACTCTTTAAACATCGTCGGGTCCAAGATATATATCTTTGGTGGTCAAGTTGAAGGCTATTTCATGAACGATTTAGCAGCCTTCGATCTTAACCAATTACAAATGCCTAACAATCGATGGGAGGTGCTTAGCGAGAATACCGAAACTGGAGGCGCGCTGCAAGGCAAGGTACCACCGGCCAGAACTAATCATTCTATGGTCACCTTTAACGATAAGATGTACTTGTAAGTCTTATATACACCCCTTACGCAGGCATAGGTTTTAGAGGCTCATTATAATAGGTTCGGCGGTACCAATGGCTTTCAATGGTTCAATGACGTATGGTGCTATGATCCTGCAGTCAATAAGTGGTCTCAGTTGGACTGTATAGGTTACATTCCCGTCCCCAGGGAAGGACATGCCGCTGCTCTTGTAGACGACGTTATGTATATTTTTGGTGGACGTACGGAAGAGGGTGCTGATCTAGGCGATTTGGCTGCGTTCCGAATTACGTCTCGTCGTTGGTATACTTTTCAGAATATGGGACCCTCGCCGTCGCCTCGATCCGGTCATAGTATGACATCTGTAGGAAAGTCAATCGTTGTAGTTGGGGGCGAGCCAAGTTCGACTCCAACTCAGATCAGCGATCTCTCGATTGTATATGTTTTGGACACCACCAAAATCCGGTATCCCAACGATGCGCAAATCCAGTCTACCACCCAGAAAATGCAACAAAGGCGTCCAAGTGGTAGCGATATCCCCGGGGCTAGGCAGACACCATCTCGCGAGGGCTCTATTGGAGCAGATCCGAAACGGGTAGCCAGTCCTAACAGCCCAACTAATAGCTCCGGAAAGGGCGGTACCGGTATCGATATGAATGGGCCCCCGCCTGTCAGTAACGGGTTATCGAAGCTTCCAAGAGCTGCAGGCACCTCGACTCCTTCAGGCCCTCCACCTCCGGGGCAAGCTCCTCGGCCAAGTATTGAAGGAAATGCGAACGGCCGCCGCCCTAGAAATCCATCAATCGAAAGAATAGAAAGAGAAACTACAAGGGTCGGTTCACCTGGCATCAGCAGTCAAAGCCAGTCCCCCGTACCAAGAGAACTGGTAAAAGAGGAAATTCCAGTCGTGAACGGGAGGCG